ATCTTTACTTGCTTTCCTAGGAGTAGTGTTAGGTTGTAAGGAAAATCCATTCATCAATATATCATACGACCCTTGATTTTCGAGGCGCCGGAGCACCATCCTTGTTGTTCGCTCACTCACCCCATATATCACACGACCACCGCTCCTTGAGCAGCGCGCCGGAGCACCGCCCAAAACCCACCACCAACACCATCACTCAACAGCCTCGATTACTCCTCCAGGGACTCTTCCTATAAATACCAGGCTCAAACTACATTCAAAGGGTTCAACACCAAAACAAAGCCTCCCACGGAGCAACTTATTTTTTCCTGTAATGCACTTTCAATATCTTTACTTGCTTTCCTAGGAGTAGTGTTAGGTTGTAAGGAAAATCCATTCATCAATATATCATACGACCCTTGATTTTCGAGGCGCCGGAGCACCATCCTTGTTGTTCGCTCACTCACCCCATATATCACACGACCACCGCTCCTTGAGCAGCGCGCCGGAGCACCGCCCAAAACCCACCACCTACACCATCACTCAACGGCCTTGTAGTTCAGGACGTGAACCTAACAGCCGATACTATTTCCTCTCTCGGCTACAATCGTTTGATTAGAGGACGAGTTCAAACAGGCGCACCACTCAACCATCCAACACTCATCAATTCATCGACGCACGGTAGACCGTGCTGGCACGCCCGCGCACAACCGCACCGCACCCAAAAGCATGAAACCGCGTGTCAACGCACATCCCCTCGGCTCGGAAACCCAGGCCATGAGATTTGCGCGGCAGACATTTTTGGCACGCCCGGTGGGACACTTGTCAAAATTTATGGTGGAAACTAGGGCACAGGCAAAGCTCAAAAACAAAGCAGTCGAAATGACTTCTGAGACTCCTGAGTCCGCCTCACCAATCACAACTACCGAGACCGAACGTACGGTCGGGGTCTCGGCCAGCGTTCCAGTAACGACGGATCGCACGGCCGAGTCCATGCAGGAACAAGCAGTAATGGAGGATTTGATATCCAGGCAGGCTTGCTGGATGGAGACATCCTTCATGGCCACGGTGGGCAGATTCACTTCAGAACTGCGAATACTTTTCCAGGAAAAAATGCCGGTGACTTCGCCCACAACATTCCCCGGAGCCGGGCATAGAAGTCAGGAACGTGAAAGGAATGAGCCGTACGGCGAAAGTAGCAGCCTTGGCGTCATTTCCCATACCCAAGCGTCAGGCTACGGCCAGCATCCTTTGCCGCCGACCAACAGCTGGGGGCAGGCCCAGCCCACAAGGGCAAACCCCGGACCAAACCAACCGGCAGAGAAAGCATGTAGCCCACTCCACGCTCTAGCCAAAGCATTTAGAAGGAGTCCTACGGTGTCTACAGCCGAGAAATTCGGCCCAAACCATATTTTGGCCGATCAAGCGCAGTCCGGCCAAAGCAGTATGACCGAAGCGTTACCACAACAGTGCGAGCAAAAAAGCGTGACTGTTGCACTACCGTCGCAAATACACGGTTCGGCCATTCAAACGACAATGCAAATGCGCCCAGGTTCCCTCCATGATACAAATCAGCAGAACCAGGTGACCGTACCTCGATGGCCGGTCGACCGAGATTATCTCGGCCAAAACCACGGCGTTCCACTAAAACTACCCGGCTCGGTCATAACGGCCGAGCCCGTTGCTCAAACAGCCCGACAGGATTGGCCGCGAAATATTGCGCAGCAAAGCAGGCCGTGTCAGGGGTTTCAGTTTGACGACATCCGGCCTCTCGTGAAAGACGATTTAATAAAAGGGGAGCTGGGGGCACCAGATTACCCAAGACCGCGCCCATCAAAGGAGCTTAGCAACACGCATGATTTATCTCCTAAAGTTTTTTGGGCACGCCGTGTTTCGAAAAACTCGGCCGTAGGCACATCTACTTACGTCTCGGCCAGGAGCCAAGACACTAGCAAGATGCTAAGGCTGACGGTTCGATTTCTCCGAGATATCAGGCAACACCGTAAAAGGAAAGAGGACTGCTCACGAATGATGCCCAAGAGTTCAGGGAGTTCAAAACAGTTGGAATTCGACGCCTACTACTCGGCGCAAGTTCAAAAGAAAATGGCACCGAGAACCTCCGACAAAAAGGCA